AAGCAATGCCATGTTTTATAAAGTTAAATCAGTTTGAAACAGTCTTCTATTTATTTTGGTAGCATATTTTTAAAACAGTTACTTCTGTGCACTTCTATGTATTTTTTTCAGTTTCTTATATCCATTCATGTTGTAGTTAGTCCAGTTCCCTCCTCCCAATTTGCAACCCCAACCGATCAATACATTTCAGATTATCCTAAGTTAGATATAATTCCATGTTCATTGATTCTGGCTTTTGGTCCCATGTTTGCATACAGCACATACTTTGTATTTCTCCCTTTTTTTGTTCACGTGTGGTTTTTTAATTTATTCCATTTAGCAAAATCCATGGATTTGTGTATTTTTTAGCATTTTTAGGAAAAGTATTTTTTTTGGCCAAGCTTGTTTTCATTAATCTAGATTCTATTTTGTCCATTTTAATAATGTATTTTGTATTCCCATTTTGTGTGTGTTTGAACTATGTTTTTTTCCCTCTATGTTCACATTTTTTAAAAACTATGTGAAATATTTTTAATTTATTTCTCCCATTTCATGTGGGGGGACATTCTTCTGTGGTTTATTTATTTCTCCCTTCCCTGTTGTGGATGCATGTGAACTTTTGAAGGAAAAAGAAATAAAAATTCTGCACCACAATTTACCACCTCTGTATTGTGAGTTTTGAGTTTGATGTGATTTGATTTTTAAGAAAATAGGGCACTTAAGCTTAAAAACAGAGCTATATGTCTATTTTCATGTACTCTGTGCCACAAAACATCCTCAAGTGATATAATTTTAGATTTCCAAACGTAAAATTATTTGGAGGGTGTAAGTGGAGGTCTGTTCTTCCACACTCCACTGTTGCCTTAATTCCTAGTACCTCTTTCTCTATGACCTCTCAAGTGTATGAGGTGTTAATGAAATGAATTAAAATAACATACACAAGTGAAAAATGTATAATCTAGACAGTTTTTTTCACACCATTTGTGGTTTGGTGTCATTTTAGATGTTGTCCAAAGAGTGATGAAAGATTGTAGCTATGAAAAGTTTACTCTTGAGGTGTAGCATAAATTATAGATAATTGAGTGGGTTTTGATATGCGGGATCAGGGGTGGGATTCAACCAGTGTTACTACTGGTTCAGTGAGAGTGTGTTTTGTGTACAGCATTTGCAAAATGCCGCCTGGACAGCTGACAAGCGCTGTGCACGGGTGCGCAGCGTTTGAAAATCCTCTTTCCTGCTTTTTCAACCTCAGCTGTGCCGCGCAAAGCAGCTGAGGTTGAAAAAGCAGGAAATAAAGAACGAGCAAAAGGTTGTCACAGTGAACTGGTTCTGTGTCTGCTGCTCTACAGAGCTACCGGTTCTATAGAACCAGGACGAACTGGTAGCATCCCACCCCTGTGCGGGATGTCATCAGAAATGCAAGGAAATAAACATCAATATGAGCTTTGGGATGAATTAGACTCAAGTTTAAATAAAAAGAAAATAGCATTTCCTTGGCAGCTCAAAAGTTCACTTCTACATATCTAAAACTCATGCCATAATTGGAAACATAGCTTGTAAAGCAGAAAAAAACCATGTAATTTGGACTAACCCCACCCCTTGCATCACGTTTTGTGATACTCAGGTGGATTTCTGCCTGATGCATCAATTTTTGCTCAAAATGCCTTCCCTCCCTTTGTGTTTTCCATGTGGCCAATTTAGCATGGATCATGGGGATTGTAGTCCACATAACTGGAGTGCACCAAATTGGGAAAGCTGGTGTTAGCATTCTTCATGAATTATTTTAAACTTGTAGGCAGTTTGAATTCGGTACTGAATTGTTTGGTGTGACTGTTTTTTAGCCTGGCTGACAGAACAATAAATCGCTAAAAGGCCCAGCCAAAGAACTGAACTTTTCCAAGATTTAAAAATCATTTATGACGTTTGTCCTTGGTAACTTGCAGGTCCAATTTTGTCGAATGCATGAAGTTTGTGTCCATCATAACATTTTGTACAATGAGAGACAACAGATATTTGCCACTATTGTAGACTCTTGTCTCTCAAAATCAGCTGAGTTTGTTCTATCGATGACTGAAAAATAAACTTTTGGGTTTTGTTAGGCAAAATGGGATGTCAGTTTCTATTTGACATCTTAATGCTGAAACCTGCTCTCCCATTCTTCCTTCCACTTCTCCAACATGTATTTTGAAAGGAACCTAAATACTGTTTAGATTAGAAGAGAAGGCCTAAAGGACATTTTTAAAGTGAGTGCAGGTGGATTGGGAGTTACCCCCGACAGAGCTAAGTCTTCAAAAGGTATCCTGTGGAAACTTTCCGACCCTGAACATGAGAATGAAGAATATTTTCTGTTGCAGAGCAGGATAGAGGATGAAGAGCCATCAGCTCATTGGGGAATGGGTGTTGAGAATCTCAACTACAATCTATATTTAGGCTATGATGTGGAGCTGCAGTGATGTAATTTTATGCAGATTATGATAATTTGCACTATTTTTTCCTACTTTAGCATTTTTAGAAAAACCAACATGCAATTGTCTCAAAGGTGCTTTTTTCAAAGGCAACCTGGACTGTTTTTTCCTTGAGGATGAACAACAAAATGTATTGTTTCTCACCCAAGAAACTTCATCTGTTGTGATGGTGTTTGGGAGGGGGGGGGGAGAGGACAGACTCTGACAGTTGAGACTGAATGTTGCGGGGGTGGGGGTGGGGTGGAAAGATAGATTCTGACTGGTGTTGGAGGGGGGGAATTGAAGGATTGTATTTCTTTGTAGTCATCTGGTCATTAGTGCTCTCTCGCAGAGCTGTTGAGGCCACTTGGGTGTTTATCTTTGCCCTCATGGTCACCTGAATCAGGGTGCAATTGTGGAATCTTCTTGGAACTGCTGCAAGAGCTGTGTTGTAGACTGGAGGTAGGTGATGCACAACCAATTGCACTCTGATTCAGGTGACGCTGAGGGCAAAGATAAACCTCTAAAGCTCTCAGGGAGAGTATTAATGAGTATTAACAACCAGATGACTGCAAAGAAATGCAGTCCTTCCACCCCTGCCATCTGATCAGAACCTATCCTTCCATACCCCACCGTCCAGTCTCAACTGTCAGTACTTTCCTTTCCATACACCCCTTCCCCCGCCTTCAGAATTGATGAAATTTCTTGGATGAGAAATAAAATGTTTTGTACTTCTTCCTCAAGGGAAAAAACAGTCCAGTTGCCTTTTGAAAAAGCACCTTTGAGACAACTGTGAGCCAGATGACTGAGAATCTCTACAGACATCCAACGTGCAGTTGTTTAGCACACTCCAAGGTGTGCGTGTGAAGTTTCTAATATAGTTCAGAATCTGGCATATCATTCATTTGTGCCTTTTTTATTCAAGAATGATCACTGATAACTCAGGAAGAAACAAACAAGCAAATATTTACTGAATGTCCAAGATTTCAGCCTCTTGAGCAAGCAGACCCCTCATAAACTTCTCTCCTGAAGCATCTTTGGCTGTCTCCTGGTCATCAGCCAAACACAGATAACTAGGAAATAGGGGAGAATTAGCTAGAACCCTTCAGCTGCTTCTCAGTTCATAATACAAATACTCCTTGACTTACGACCACAACTGGGACCAGAATGTTCATTGCTAAGCAAGGCAGTTGTTAAGTAAGCCATATCTGATTTTACAACCTTTTTTTTTGCCATGGTTGTAAAATCACTGCAGTTGTTAAGTGGATCGTATGATCATTAAGTGAATCCGGCTTCCCCTATGGACTTTGCTTGTCAGAAGCCCGCAGTGAAGGTCACAAATGGCAATCACATCACCCCAGGATGTTGTCACCATTGTAAATAAATGCTGGTTTGCCAAGTGCTTGAATTTTGATCATGAGAATGCTGTGACGGTCGTAAGTGTGAGAGTTGGTTGTAAGTCACTTTTATCAGAGCCGTTGTAATTTTGAATGGTCATTAAACAAATGGTTGTAAGCCAAGGACTACCTGTAGAGCCTGTAGGGAATTTCTAGCAGGTCTCCCTTCCCGTTCCCATTGTCCTAGTTATTCCACAGGCAGCCATCCTCCCATAATGGAATATATGAAGCTTCTTCATCGACTCGTTCCATTGGTTTTTTTCCATGCAGCCTTGTGTCATTTATCCTTCATGGGGTCTTAGGCAGAAAGAAGGTCCTCCTAGTTCTGTTACTTGAATCTACCTTACAAGCAGTGTCAGCAAATGCATACTGCATTGTTCTTTCAGGAGGCAAATCCCATTTTTGGGTATTTCTAATTTAATTGGGTATGTCTAGTCTAGTGAAAAGGAGGACTAGGTGTGACATGATAGCAGTGTTCCAGTATTTGAGGGGCTGCTCCAAAGAATAGTGAATCAACCTATTCTCCAAAGCACCTGAAGGCAGGACAAGAAGCAACTAGTGGAAACTAATCAAGGAGAGAAGCAACCTAAAACTAAGGAGAAATTTCTTGACAGAACAATTAGTCAGTGGAACAGCTTGCCTCCAGAAGTTGTGGGTGCTCCAACACTGGAGGTTTTTAAGAAGTGATTGGACAACCATTTGTCTGAAATGGTATAGGGTTTCCTGCCTGAGCAAAGGGGGTTAGGCTAGAAGACCTCCAAGGTCCCTACCAACTTTGTTATTCTGTTATGTAGTTACTTTTCATCAAGCTATGATCCAGGAGGCATCTTTTCACTCAATTAAAGCTATTTGGATGGGCTGAAGCTATTTCATACTGATATTACTTTGATTTAAGTGGAAACATTAGAATGTTAAAACTACTGAGTAAAACTAGAATTAGTTTATTCCCACCAAAACCCCCACTGGTGGAAGTTGTTTGTCTCTAATACATGCTCCTCTGTCTCTCCCTCTCCCTCTCTCCCTCTCCTCACTCTCTCCCCTCTCTCTCCTTTCCTTCTCTTCCTTTCACATTTGTTCTTTATTTGCCATTCTCTTTCTCCCGCCTCTGGTCACTGGCATTGTTCTGTTTTTGTTTTCTTGTTTTCCCTCTTTTTCTCCTCTTCCTCCTCTTCCTCCCCAGTCCAAAGAACTGCAAATTAAAAAGCAGTTTCAGGACACCTGTAAGATCCAGACGCGGCAGTATAAGGCCCTTCGCAACCATCTCTTGGAGACCACACCAAAGAGCGAGCACAAGGGGATCCTCAAGCGTCTGAAGGATGAACAGACCCGCAAGCTGGCCATCTTAGCTGAGCAGTACGACCACAGCATCAATGAAATGCTCTCCACCCAGGCCGTAGGTACCCTGCGCTGCCCTCCCCTTGGGTGGAAGAGAGGGAGGAATCAGCCCTTCCTCTATCCCTGGAGAAGAGCGTTTTCCAACCATGCTTTGAATCCTAGGCCCTAACCAATTATTTATTTAGTTTTTATTTCTATCCTCAACCTTCTTCCCCCAGCTTTGGCCAGCAAAAGTTTGACATAAAATGACCAATCCCACTGGATATGGACTGACTACTTGAGGTAGAATTTATCTACCTTGAATAAAGCCCGAGAGATTGATTTATCCTTAGAACATGGCTTTGATTTTATACCAGTTTAATTGTCTTGCTTTTTCCCAAAAGAACAATGGAAGAGAAGATGCTGAGAGTAACACATTTTAGAGAGCCATAATTGCTTGCTCTCAAAACTGTAGTCCCCAAGGCTTCCTTGGAAAGAGGCTGGCTGTCAAACCACAATGTCCATTGTGCAATGGGGCCCTTGTTCACAGGGCTCCGAAGCATGCTTTTCTCTGTAGCATCTTCTTCACTCCTAAAGAAACCCCTTCTGAGGTGGGTGACTAGTTTTAAAGTTATAGGGCTAATAGAGTTCCCTTTGCCATAACTGCTTAACGAATATCAGCTTTGATCTCCTGACTCCATAAGCAAAGTGAACATGACAGCAGTTGTTTGGTCTTAAAACAGACTCCACCTGCCCCTGCCCTTTATTGGGGCAGGTATGAGGTGCTTTCTAAACAGAATAGACAGAAATCCAATAGGTACCCATGCTCAGCTAGTTGAATTTCTAGCCATTGTCAACTAGGGAGTCCTACCACAAACAGGAATTTTTGCTATATAATCAACTTGAGGTGGCAAGCCCTCCAGCAACAGCTTTGCAAAGCAGACAGACTAAATGGAGTCATCTTACAGATTTCTGCCTTAATTTGAGGCCAATGCCCATTCCAGAAGCCTAGAGAAACATGGATTATTAAGACCTTGAGGCAAAGCTAGTCTGTCCCTTTAAGAGTCATGCTATCCTAAGGAGTGGTTTTTGTGATGGTAAAACCTTATGTTGTGGTCTTCTTCCTCTCTTCCTAGCTGCGTTTGGATGAAACTCAAGAGGCAGAATACCAAGTCTTAAGGATGCAGCTGCAGCAGGAGCTCGAGCTGCTGAACGCTTATCAGAGCAAAATCAAGATCCACACCGAGGCCCATCATGAACGTGAGATCAAGGAGCTGGAGCAGCGGGTGTCTATCCGCAGGGCCCTCTTAGAGCAAAGAGTAAGTATTTCCCACTCTCCCTGGACAATCTATGGAGCTTGGGGTCCAAAGATATTGCAGCACCCACCCAGATCTGTGGCTCCATCTTCAATCCCACCTTCAATCAGAGGCCCCAAATGTGAATTGTTCTCCTCCATGCAAATCTGAGCTATTTATTCTCTCAGTACTAAACTAAAGATGAACAAGCCTTTCCCATTGAGTGCCACAGTCCTTAGAACAGGGGTGGGCAAACTTTTTGGCTCGGGGGCCGCATTGACTTTTAAAATTTGACAGACGGGCCGGGTCAGCACAAGATTTTTTGGGAATCGCCCCCCCATCCTTCCCCCCCTCTTCTCCTCCTTCCCCTCCCCTCGGAGGCCCCCTGAGTCAGGAGCTGCTACCGCCGGCGCGGCTCCGCGCAGCTCCAGTCCCGCGTTGCCTCGGGAAGGGAAAGGCAAAAAGGAAGAGCCGCGGTGGTGCTTTGCAACGGGAGCAGCGGCACTGGAGGCTCAGGCTCAGCGGCTCCTGGTTTTGCCTTTTCCTTCCCAAGGCAACGCGGGACTGGAGCCGCGTGGAGCTGCGCCGGCGGTAGCAACTCCTGACAGCCCCAGCCGGACACCTGAGTGGAGCCCGGGCGGAACTGCCTGTTGCTGCTGCCGGAGCACCGCCGGGTCGCCTCCTCCAAGCAGCCCGCCCGCCCGCCGGGCTTCCCCTCCGCCGCGCAGCTCGGGGCCAGGCGCGAGCGCCCACGAGTTAAAAGGAAGCCGTAAGTTGCTGGGAAGTTGCTTGGGTGCTGGGAGCAGGCTTTTAAAGTGCCGCCCGAGCAAAGTTTAAGCAGCCCGCCCGCCAGGCGGAACCCTTCCCGCTCCTCGGCGGGAAGACGCTCCAGCCTGCAAACTTTGCCTTTGCAAAGTTTAAGCCTGGAAGCCCCGGAAACCT